ATTCTGTAAGCTCGCTCTCGATCGGCACTCTACTTGTGCGTCTGGCTGCCACCACTAACCAAAATATATAGGAAAAAGCACTGGGAGTCCATCGCTGATCTAGTGGATGTATGGAAATGCTTAGACTTAAGGATCCAGAATTAACTTCCTACTCGCTTGCATATTTATTCCTAGATGTAAAAGCACCTGTTAAGATGAGTGCAAAATAAAAAATAAAAAAAGGTACGTAACACCCTGTATTCACTGTCATTGCCCTACACAACTGAATTCCACATTGCTTGAATAAATAAGCCAAGCGCATGAAATTCAGTAAATCATTCCAACAACAGCGGCAGCATCAGCAACAACAATGAACTTTGGGAGTTAAGGCACAAGGCCCAAAACCCTCGGGTAACCAAAATTTGCGCTGATTTTGTGTGCAGTTGTGTCCATATACTTACGTATATGTGTGTAAGTATGTATGTACTTTCTATACGTACATATGTATTCGGAAAAATCTATGTGCCTATGTGTGTTTGTATGTATAGTATGTCCACACTACCACCAAATACGTAACCCACCCCGACATCATTGTTACGTCCGCAAGGGGTGGTGAGTGCGGGTGGATATTTGTATGTATGCATATGTGCATACATACATACATTTGGAGTCCTGTGTTGCCTTTAAGAAACTAGAGATGCTGAACAACAATTACACCAGCAAGTCACATTGAAATATTGAGAACACGACCGAAAGGCAACGCGACGATGAAAGACTAATAAAACCTACGTACAAAGATAGAAATGAGCACAAGAGAACAAAAATAGCGTGGTAATTATGCTATGGGTGTATGGGTGGATAGTTAATCCGGAAATAGTAAACCTTTTTTATAATTATTATTTGATTCTATCTATTATATTCTGATTACGCACTCATCCTGCCCAGCACGGCCTTTTGTGTTTTGGTCCAACAATAGGATGACTTTCTGAAGGAGATGAGCAGAAAATGTTCTATCCAGGAAGTCAAATCGGAAGCGAAATCGGTTACCTATTTAAGAACCTGTAGTCGGTACCCGAAATTCATCAAAACTAAAAAACTATATCAAAGCCAAAACATTCTGCCGGTATAGTGTAGGTTGGGTTTACCATTTTTTGTCTTTCGAGTATAAGTGCAATAATTAAAATTTCAAATTTCCGGCACTGAGTTATATGCGCCCATAGCAGAAGTAAAAATAAGAAGAAGAAGACTTGATGCTGCAGTTTGTGGGCGTTGTAGCTTCTCCGAAGTTATACTTGCAATTTATTGGTTTTGACACTGCAACATAACTCTATCCACTTTAAAGATTTAGTACAAAATTTCACTTAATAGGGACACATCAATAAGCATATCGAAATCAAACCTTACTTATTAAAGACTCTAAAATAGTGAATGAACCAGGCACGCTAACTCTGGGCAGGCAAAAAAACTTTATTGGAATCAGGGCACTTAAATTTCCATATGAATAAACTTATTGAGCGTATTTTTATAAGACGTTATATGATTAAATTTAATGATTTGGCTCAGAGTAATAAATCTTTGAAATTTGGATACAAAGAGTTACAACGTTCGGTTCGACGACCAAGAAAAGTGTTGTTGTTTATTATTTCTTTATTATATATTTTGATGATCTTTCAAACGGTACTCGCTTTTTTGTATCTAAACTCCTTCTTCTCAAATCACTGAAAACACATGTACCTATAATATTGGATAAGTTTTGAATAATTGAAGATTGTTTAGTTTGATATTTTTAAAATGTATTTATTTTTGCTAATATTGTTTTCGTACAACTATTAATAAAGACAAAGTAATTATTGCTTTTTCAAATACAAACAAAATTTCTATTGTTCAAATATTGAACATAACTAAAATTTTCAAGTACCAATGGGGAACTATCGAGTGGCGCTAATATCGATAGTTTGCCACCTCTAGTGATCAGCTGGATTGACTAGGGATCGAAGTAGAGTTGCAGAATCGATTTAATCGATATTTAACATTTTTGCTAAACATTTTATTTTTTATTTTAACGTGGATGAAATGCCTCATTTAGTTAAGCAGCGTCCGGTAAGTATGTACATAGGTTAGATTAGGTTAGAATGGCTGGGGCTCTGGTATACACCCGTGTGGGGTGTAGGCCCATTCTGACACACCCGAACTCTTCAGACACCCGGTGCTATGAATAAATTTAATAACTTTCATAATTTCGGTCCATCATAGGCCCGAGACATCGTTTAAGAAAAATCGCGCTAGGGCTGCTCAGCGCAAGCCAGTGGCAGAGAAGGTCTGTCTCCTTCTCATCTGTACAGCTTCTGCAGAAGTCATTAAAAGGCATGCCAAGCCAAGCAGTGTGGAGACTGCACCCCTTATTAATCTTAGAAGCTTATACGTTCTTTTATCATTCGGGCGTGGCCAGGTAAGCCTTGCCCGAACGCACAAGTATGTGCTCTTCCAGCGCTGCTGGGTCGCTTGGTTGTGTGTCCAGAGCATGAAGCAAGATAGCAGCATTCCCATGCCTTCCTTCTCAGGAAGAATGTTATCGGTGGTTCCCTCCCTTGCCAGCTCATCTGCAATGCATTTTCCCTCGATCTGCCAGTGTCGCGGAACTGAACGCTGATACTACAGCTATCCAGATTGAATTCAAGCGCTTTGAGTACCACTTGACTGTCAGAGAGGAAAAATAGCGGCCTGCTTCCCAGTGTGGTTGGGAATAAGTGTCGCGTGGTCTTCAGTAAGGCAGCAACTTTTGCCTGGTACACACTGCAGTCGTCAGGAAGACGGAAAGATAGCCTCAATCCCAGGTCCAGAGGCGTGACCATCAACTTTAGAGCCATATATGTAGATGTTAACGGCGTTGCATCTAGCATGAGGTAGGCATTCCCAATCCATCCGAGAGAGGATCCTTATAAAGGTCACACTTGGTATGAAAAAGTCCGCGTGGGAGGGTATCCCGGGGGAAGACGGAGTATACTTGCGTGGCCCTTGGGTGAATCTCTCCAAGCCAATGTTTCTCGCAGTCTTAATGCCGTGCTGGCCGCAAGCTTCTTCTCGATTATGTCCAGTGGGAAAAGGTGGAGGATAATGTCTAATGCTTCAGTCGGTGTTATCCGTAGTGCTCCACAGATGCATAATTCAACAGATCGCTTTATGTTGCTGAGCTACTTGAGAGCAGAAAGATTTTTCCATGTATGCATGTATGTATGTAAAAGTATACGTATATTTTTGATCGACTGCATCTGAGCGCGTGTGGAGTAAAACGGGATACGTCCTTTCAGACAGACACGCCTTGAAGCCATATACATATAGTAGACGAATTACTATTTACGAACAAAAACCAATGGATAAATAATAAGTCACCTTACAGAAATTGATCTCATTAAAAAGAAAAGAAAATTTAATTTTTCCATCGTTAACGATTAATCGATAATACTAACCATAAGTGTTGTTGATACGACTCCTCCGAAGTACAATGAGTGTTTGGACTCATCTTTGGAGCTTATTATTTTACTTCACTGTTATAATAAGGAAACTTTGGCTTATATATATATATATATATATATATATATATATATATATATATATATATATATATATATATATATATATGAAGCACATATGTACATACATAACCACATATCCGTGTATATATGTATATATATATATTTTCAGTGTAAATCATAAATCATTCCCATGAAATGTTATAAATAACGTAAATGTCTTATAACTTTTGAACGGAATAGGTTATAGTAATCTTTGAACTTCGGAATCAAACTGGGAACTCGAAAATGTTTGTTCCGACAACATTTCTGCAGAATCAATACATCTATTTTTGGAAACTATCATTCAAACTGTGATAAATCCTGTTGTTGTCAATATAGCATTTGAAATATACAATTGTATGCAAATTTCTTTCGATTGGCATATCGACCATCTCGATAGGCTTAGCCTATAAAAAGCTTAAGACCAGTTTAAGATGATTGTATTGCGTAGAAATCTGACAACACGTGCTTAATATACATACATAAATGTATATACATATGTACATACTTACATGCTATACATTTGTGTCTCCATAGAAATCCGATATTTTTGTGAGAAACCCTTACACCGAGGTGAGAGGTCCTTTAAAACCATACTGAATTGAAAAGAATGAGATATTTTTAAAATAATTTAATTGATATTATTTTAATTTTCTATTATGGCGCATATTTTGCCATGAAATGGAACTGAGATGGATTTGTTTAAGTTTTTTATCATATGCATGAATTATTATTTTAATGCATCGTGTATTATTTAATCAAAATTTTATTTTGTTTGGCTCCTCTCTTTGGAAAAAATTGCGTACCCCGAAAAATTCAGCCTATGAACGTAAGTATGTATGTACTCGTATATATTATATACGTATATATTTTACGTTTTAGATTTATTTGTTGTTGTTTCTCGGATTGCTATTGTACTGAAATGGCGAAAATCAGATGAAAATAGGTTTCATTTTAAAAGCTGTATGTACAGTCATTTTATTTGCATATGTAAGCATGTACATATGTACATACACTTGTCTCCATGTTTATATGCGTGTACGTCTTAAGGACATTTGGAGCAGACTTTACAATGCATTGCGCCACTCGGCTGTTATTAGAGTTGACACAAATGTGGACTTATTGCTTAATTATTTGTTTAATTAAATGTATAATTCCCAATCGGTGGCAGTACAACAGTATCGGGTTATAATCGTCCCAATGTAGACGACTCGCATACAGATAGCAACAGGCAAGACAACGTCTAAAAATCGCCAGCAAACGTATGGACTTCGGATAGCATTGGAGCCTAATATGTTTTCGACTGTTTCCATATTTTTGGTACTATGTAGCCATCAGTGATATGACTTGGTGTGTGCCCGCTGTATCTATATAGCCCCACCACTGGCTGGTGCTCGAATACTTGGAACGTACATATACATACATATAATATACATATTATATAAATAATTTAACGTTTCAGCCAAAAAACCTCATTAATCGTTGAATTAAGCGCACAATATAGATGAATACAACAACGTTTAAATGAATTAAGTCTATATAATTTTTAGGGAATGTGTCTCAGCGTGTGCGGTTGACTGACGGCAAGACGCCGTCAATGGAATCGGGTGTTGGTGCCTGGAGTGCAGCGTAAGCAGGCGACAACGGATCTTGTGGACTATGAAAGAAGTAGAGCATGAAGCCGGCGGCCAGGATCACGTGAGCGCCAAGAATTCCAATTATAAGGAATAGCGAGAACTGCGAGTTGCGCAAAGCGGGCGTCAGCACAGCGATCAATACGGTGCCGGACAACATGGCAGCCGTGATGACTAAAAGCCACTGCAGGAGTGAAATCTGTGTGGGAAAAATGGGTAATTAAATGGGAAAGGCACAGCAAAATTGTGATGGGGTTGATAACTTACATTAATCACCCACAGTATGGAAACTGGAATATAAATAGCCAAGGAATAGCCATAGACACACATCAAGGAAAGCAAGGTTGGCGTGTAGTTGGCCTGTAACACGAAGGGCATAAAGTGTGAGCGAGAAGGCATGTGCGCATGAGAAGGAAAGAAAAAGAGAGAGAGGGAAAAAATGGAAACTCACGCTGTCCGCTTCTATGGTATCTGTGTCATTAATGGGCTTTAGACTATACTTAAATAGGGCCCACAAGATGATCGGTAAGACGTTGGCGTAGAGAAAGATGCACGTGGCAGCGTAAGAGACCAAATGGAAATTGTAGTGCCATTGGTAGGCGTCAGTAGCGTGGTGCAAATAACTCGCTATGTTACCAGTGATGGCAATCGAGAAAATCTGCAAATAAAGGTCATTAATGCAAAATGTTATCTGGAAATCTAAGCCTGGCCATCTCACCAGTGTAACGGTTATCCAAAATGGTCCATAGAGATCTGGATTCTCTCCTATGTTCATGCGCAGATAGTTGCCAGCGGCGCGCTTGGGTATCATTGAATTGGCAATGCGCTCAAGCACCATGTACGTGTCTACGTTAAAAAACTGCTGATAGTATTCAATAGTTAAAAAGGAGAGGCGTGTGCCAGCGCCTGGGCTGCCGGCAGTGCCATCCGCCCCTCCGCCAGGGGCTGCAGCGTTCGCGCTACCGCCACCAGTCAGTGTTTGCACTGAGTTGCTCATGTCGTAGATAAGATCGGACAAGGGATCACCACGTTGGCGTCCGTTGCTGCTAGCGCTCCCACCCGTAGCGCTGCCAGTTGAATGTGTTGGCGAGTTTACATTAATTTGTGCGGGCGCACTGCTGTTAGTCGCGCTAGTGTTGCTGTAGTCGCGGAACTGTAACAAATCATCGGGAATCGGCGTTTCCATTTTGCTGATGCACCTACGCTTTGTTTTTTTTAGATTTAACACGTATTTTTATGCGTTCTGCCCCCACTATTTGTTTTTCACGAAGTCAGCTGTTTGGTTGACGTTGTCTTTTGACAATCACAGGGAATCGGCAAAAGGTTAGCCAAGAACTTCGGAAACAAAAAATAGCAAATTCTTATCAGCTATATATTTAAAATTGACACTCAATTATAATTCCTATGTTCTATATATATGCATTTTTTATATATTATACATATATATAGGTTTTTACTAATAATATAAAAGATTATGGTATATATATCTATTCAAATATGTTTATCAGAAGCGATATAACTTTACCGGATAGAAACCCACAAAATTAAGAAGATTTAAAAACATCAGAGACTTTACTACCATATAATTGTTTAAGCTAATGCCAATTTTAAACAATTTACACCATTACAAGATAATGAACCAGCTCCTTTAAGCTCTTCCGAGGAACTGATTCCGTGAAATGTTTTACAGCACTACCTATCTTCGCGATGTAATACCACACTTTTTGCAGATGCTGCATAAAAATATTTTCGCAGCGCTTTATTTTTAAAAAGTTCTACGTGATTAAAAAAATAGGCGTTTGTTAAAATCTTCAACGATATAATACACTCTCCAACCAAAACTGTTCAGACTTGAGTTTCCGCAACACTTGCTTTGTACTCTCACAACCGCACAAAATGCCCGTAAAAAATGGCGAATCGGATGCAGAGGGCGACGTCTCTGGGGCCGAGTCAGAGCACTCGAATTCCAGCCAGGCACATGACACTTCCGACGAGGAGGAGGCCAATGAATGCGATTCCGATGACTCCTCGGAAATGGACGCCTCCGAAATCGAGCGACGGCGTTCCGAATTCATCGAAGATTTGGGTAAGCAATATACCAGGAAATATATCAAACATCCTTTGCAATGCATACCATCTTGTAGCATGCTTGGAACGGCAATTTGGCCATTTGCGTGAGCAATATTATTGCGAACGCATAAATCTCATTGAGCGCCAGTTGGCTGAAGTGCATTCTGGGGCGTCTGAGGAGTTTGTGCAGCCACAAAAAGAAGTAGACAAAGTCTATCGCACTCGCATTGAAGTCGCAGATGTACTGCGGAAATTTCGCTTGCAGAACATCGAACACAAATACCTTTCTGAAGAGCAGGCAGCATCACAGCACTTTGAGGTAAGTTTTGGCGCCAACACAATTGACGGCACCTAACAATACTAATATATTTCTCTAGAGCGAAAAGCGAATGGCTATGGACAATTTACGCGAGGATCTGATAGAACGTATTCGCCGTCTCGAAGAAGATCGCCATAATGTGGATATTTCTTGGGCCGACTGGGGAACTGACAAACGACAGAGCAAAGTACGGGGTCCGGGTCGCAAGAAGGCGGTCACCGTTACCGGACCGTATGTTGTGTATATGCTGCGTGAAGAGGACATTATGGAGGACTGGACGATCATACGAAAGGCACTCAAGCGGTCATCAACGGCTGCGGCGACGGCAGGCGGCGCAACGGCCACAGCTGGAGGCGTATCCGGTCTGGTAGGATTGGGCATGCCGCCGACAGCTGTGGCCGGCGCAAGTGGATAACGGTGGGGCGTTGCTGCTTACGCCTACACGCGTACCTGATGGCAGCAAGGAGCGCTCCTTATTGTTGTTGTTATTATTACTGATGATGATCTATCCTGCTATGACTTACTACTGCTAAGTTTTTTAACCACTCATCCACTGTAGCCTGAACCCAATTAATTTTAGTAATTTTAAGAACCCCTACATTATTTACATATGTAGGAACGTATGTACATAGGCATAGATTGCTATCCTCACTCATGTCTCGTAGTTGTCCAGCAGCTTGTGTAAAAATGTCTGCTCCCTCCAACTCATATCGTATTGTATGTAAGCCAGGGACGTCCTCTAAAGCGCATGCACCTCGCCCCTTAAGGATGTAATTTAGAAAAAGCCATAGGAAAACCCGAGTGGCCCACAAATAAAGCTAGTATCGTGTATGATTTTTTTGTAACTGTATTCTTTATGTGTATTGAATTAAAACAATGAGCAATGGACAAAGAAATGTAACTAGCTAGAAACCTTGTGACTTCAAGTGATCACGCAACACGTCTACGTAGTCGCCATGGAAGTAAATTTGTCCACTCAGCTCGTTGACCCGAGAGGCGCACAGCTTACCATTACGTGCGCTTTCAACAACCGCACGAAGGTCGCGCTCCAGTGCCCAAATATCGCCCTGAACGCGTCGGACCACGGTCAATCGTCGCTGGCCCCTGAACCGTGTGTGTAGATAGACGGGCACCATATGATTCTTTGTGCGTGCAATATAGTAAGATCGCTCCGAAGCGTTTGCTGTTTGTGGCTGCCACCCAGAAGGATAACTCTCCTTTGGTTTTGGCTGTGGCACTATGCGAGGTGGTAGTAGACGCTCCACGTACTTCCATTCGGGTGCATTGTGCACTATTTCAACTTCCGGGTACTGGTCGAGGGGCTCCACCACTTTCGACGACCGAAAGTTGGAGTGAAGTGCGGGCTGGGTGTTTATAAGGCGGATGAGCTGCTAATGGATAATGCTTAGTTAGCGCTAGCTCTACCAAATATGGGCAAAAATAGCTCTCACCTGCGACAGTTTAGGCCACAGTGTCAGTTTTGTTGTGGCTGCCATGCTTTTTCTGGATTTTGTACAATTCTTATTAGCAAACAAGACAAAAATTTGTTACATATGCACGCCGCAAGAGCAGCTGTATAGTTAGTTCTAAATGGGGGTGGATCCAGTTCGCTCAGGGCCATATGACGTTGCCACACTGTAATTTAAAATAAACCCCGCTTTTACACTCTGGTAGCTCGAACGTGCGGGTTGTAGGCAGTAAGAACGCAAAGCGCGCATTTTAAACACTTTCCACACATTAAATACGGCATGAGGAGTATGAAAAGTCTATACATACAAATTTAATTACTTCTGGCAATTAAAAAAAAAAAACAAAAATAAGGCTACCACAGTCACTCATCGTGATACATGTATGTAAATATGCAAATAGCCCATCAAATTTGCATAATTTTACTTAGACTGTCAGAGTTTGCCATGCAACAAATGCAGCCTGTGACGTCATAGCCGGAGCTTTTTTGCCAAATGCCAATCAGACTACTTTTTTGCACGTATGTACATGAGTATATGTATGTATGTACATGAGTATATGCTTAATCATTAATGTCGTTGCTGCATTTAATGTCGTGCGTTCGTTTCGCGTCATACAATTTCTTTTGCATAGTGTTTCTGTGCTTGTTTGCATGCGTTTCTTTTTGTTGCTTTGGTGTTGTGAACACACAACATAAAGTGTTTGCGCTGCAGCTTTTTGCCATCAGCTTTTTACACTCAGTTTTCGCTGCGCTTTCATTGCGACCAGTTGTTGGTGTATGCATAGCAAAAAAAACGCAGGCTAAATAGATGCATACATACATATAGATTTTGTTATAGTAAGAATCTTGCCGAAACCTGCAGGAATTTCGCGCTTCTTGTTTGTGGCACGGGCGCCAAAACATCAAATTGGAACGGCAACATATGTGTGTAATGATTATTGTTTTGCTAACGGTTCAGTTGAGGCAGTGTTGTAAAGCGGTGGAGGCGGTAGCGGCGGCGCAATCATGGCACGCAAGGACGATCCTGTGTTCAACGTGAAATTTGTACAGCTTGTTGAAAGCCAAGCTTGCCTATGGAATACTACACATCCTGGCTATAGCAAGAAGGAGGAGGTTCAAAAGGCCTGGCAACATGTGGGCAACGAGATAAAGGACACTGGTAAGCGAGGCGGTGCTGTGTAAAAAAGTTTTTGCAGCACATGCTATTCTACATACGAATCAAGCGCATGTACAAACATACATATGTATGCATGTGTGTACATACAATTGAATGCATGTAGTGAATTTTCATTTTCTATATTTTTTGCAATTGCGTGCTCATTTGTTGTGCATGTGTGTAGCTTTTTCGCGCGCCTATGATGCAAGCTTGCATGTGGCCTCTGTATTCTGCATGCATGCCTGTGTGTGTGTGTGTGATTTCAATGCAATTTATAGTCGTGCCAACTCGCTCGCACTCACCTCTATCTAACACTGTATTTGCAAGCAGTTGGCCCGCGTCTGTGCATATATTTGTATGTACGTCCATGCATTCAACGAAATACATACATACATACATGTGTATGTGTTTGTATAGATGTGTCACTGTGTCAAACGACAGTGCAGCGCTTTTAAGTGTTTGCATGCAATTAGTTGTTGTTGCTGCCGCTGCTTCTGCTGCTGCTGCTGTTGTCGTCGTCACTGGCGCTGCCGCTTTTGGCAAGGTAATTAAGTTCAGCAATTGCTGCGCAAAGCTTTTGCAGCGTAGCTGCAGCTGCAACAACAACAACAGTGATATAGCCTACCCAGCCACTTGTTACGTTTGGCTAATACAAACATACATACATACATACGTACATCAATATGTGTACAAAATGTACATCACAGCGGACAGTAGTCCAACTAGTGGCGAAAACACCATTCTTTTGGCCTATGTGTGTATTTATGTATTTGAGAGAGTATAGAGAGAGAATATTATAAAACAATTTTAAAAGACTGTGTTGTCCGATTTATGCAGAATATGTCCTGTTTGCTTCAATAACTGGCTGTTATTTTTATGAAGGCTCATAATTCCACTAACATAAAAAGCTCGGCCGATTTTCCCAGTTCACCACTGGCTAATGTTTTTTTTTTTTTTTTCACCCACAAAATTTTTTAATGTCGATGGATGCAATAAAGCCTCCCAGCCCACTTCCCTGAGTTGCTGGTGAGCGATTATTGGAAAAGTCTGGTCACTTATTGGCAATAGCTAGTCTTCCTTGTGACCCATTCTTCATCACCAGTCGGCTCAAGTTTTTCACCTCCCGAGATCTCCCGGATTTTAAAACTATCGAGCATTGCTGAATAAAACACGATATTTTCCCCAAATTATTTGGGTTTCCTTTGTGAGGTTGATCGAAGCACTACACAAAGAAAGAAAGAGGTCTGTTTTTTTGTGTGTTAAGGGTAAGGGAGTATAACTTTATGAGTTGCCCAGATTTCTAAATGTACGCATTCTGGAGTCATTTGCAAACATAGGCATTTGTAAGTAACAATCTCTTGCTTCATTTAGTTTCGTATGTGTGTATAGAATAATAATTAGGGATGAGAAGTTAATGAACCTTAAAATTCTAACTTACATCACCATCCCAGTAATGAGCGACGAATCCGTTTACTAATTGATAGTCGGTACTAACTATCCATGAATACAAACTAATTGTGAAATAAGAAGCAACAAGTACACCCGATCAGTTTATTCCGATCATTTTGTTTCCTATTTGCAAAAAAGCGAATGAAAACAATCATAAACGGTGCTTCATAAATTTTATATTTTTTAACAAAAATGTGGACTCGTTTTTCGTCATGCTGGCATTACTACTTGTATACTATAGTATGGAGGAATTTGAGCTCGATTTGAGTTCGGGCGAATGATTAGACCGGTGGAGACAAGTGGTGCGGTATTAAGTACTTCCCACATACTATACTTTCTTAATGTATTTAAGCGTAATAGATTAAATTGTAGAATAATTATTTTTCGTGTTCTTTCAGTGCGAAATTGCCGAGAACGCTGGCGCACCATACGCAGCAGCTTCCTACGCTCCCTTAAACTGGCTCGCACTCAAACGGGGCGTGGCAAACGGAAATATTACCTGTCGAAGTACCTGCAATTCCTAATACCCTACACAAAATCGCGTGCATGCCTGAGGCAAGTCGGCAACAATAATCCAAATGGTATGGTGTTGCGCAAGCCCAGTACGTCAACGGCGGCAGCTTCGTTTATGGCCAACGCTGCCGCATTGACCACGCAACCGATGACGCGAATCAACCACGTGAACCTCATGGAGCACCGCAGAGAAGGGGACGGTGGCGATGACGACAACACCAAAGACAGCAAGGCAAGCAAAGGCGGCGACTGTGAGGACAGCGGCGCAGGAATTGCAGAGGCTGGCCTGCCGCTGGACGTGCAGGTCTCGTTGCAGGAGGAGGAATCCGTCGCCCCGGTGTCATCACCTACGGCCACGACATGCATCCCATTGCGTCTGCACGCCATTAAAATCGAGCAGCAGCCTAGCAGCGGCAATGGCAATCTGATTGCCACGCAGCTACAACAGCATCAGCACCAGCACCAGCATCACCCCCAGTCGCTGATTACGCTGCCCGTGTCCATGGCCCATGCCTTGCGGAGCAACATGGACTGGGCGGATCTCGCGGAGTGGTTGAAGAGCAACAGCCACGGTCTCGCTGGCAGCGGTGGCGGAACCGGAGGCGCTGGCAGTGGCAGTAACAATGTTACATTGCCTCCTAACCACTATGCCCATCTCCACAATATGAACGGGAGAGTGGCCACGCCCCCGCCAGCTGCTTCGACGCCCACGACTGCACCCGCACCAGCGCTGCCCACGCCACCGCCCCCGCCGCCAGCACCCGATGCGGACTACTCCTTTCTGATAAGCCTGCATCCGTATTTAAAGGAGATGAGTGGTAAACAGAATCGTCGCTTTCGCCAGAAAGTGGTTGGCCTCATCGATACTGTGCTCGATAATGCGGATGTCTGAAGCTTCTGCTTTAGTTTATAATCAAAATCGGAACCAAGCAATCAACCAATTTACCATTTGTGCCCATTTGTTATACACATAATTCATAGTACATACATACATATATATATATATATATATATATATAGATATTGGTATACCAATGTGTCCTGTACCCACATAGTTTACAAGTACATCTAAAATTAAGGAAGCGTCTTCGACCCTTAAAGTATATGTATGTATATTCGTACAAGTATGTATATATGTATGTACATATGTATACTTGTATATATGCGCTATTTAAGGTGTAACCCAAAGTAAATAGGACATTTAAAAATATGACTTTCACAAAATTATGATCTTTTGCTTTAGTTTGAAAAACATCCCGTCAAAAATTTTATAATTTTAATTTATTTTTTATGTAATCGGATGAATAGAAACCGAGATCTCAAATATTAGGTTCTGATAATGCTTGACAATACCGAATACAGTATGTTAAGTAAGAGCGTGTGGCGCGTATTTTCAAAACACTTTATTTTTAAACAACTTTTTGCACATGATCTTAACAATTGTGCTCAGGAGCCATTCGCAATTGCATTATCAATATTATCAATCATCACATCCAGAGTCAATAATCGCTTTCGACCAATTCTTCAGCATATTCGATTGGAAGTGACTCCCAAATTCGTCGAATGTGACGGAAGTTGCTCAAGAGCTAATAGTCGTTTTCCCTGAAACTTATGCTTTATAAATTTGCAAACATTTCCAATTGGAATGACAGCCGGGGACTGTGATGCTCAATCCTCCAGTCGCGGTGATTCTCAATTGCTCATGCGGAACGTTTCGACGTGTTATTAGGCAACATTGGCTTTGGCCAAAATCAGTTTTACAAGTACCTTTCCTTTACAGCTGCTACATGAGACATTTTTAGACCTTTTGGGTGATAAAAGATGAACATAACCTCAAACCATTGCAAAACACGTGTCAATACGTCAAAATCTCAACATTAAATCCAATTGTTCCATGAAAGCTCCAAACACAAAAGCTCCAGCTAACTGTACAAAAAAGTTTTTGAAGCTGGCCTACTCTAATCGTAAATCAATCGAAAAAAAGAAATTTTTCTTATCGGTGAACACTTTTATGCTAATTTTATGGAAAAAAAAAAAAAATTTTAACCGTCAATCACTCCACAGATCTGCCTGAATTGGCCCGTGTGACTATTACCATTTCGGAAAGTTGTACGAGTATTATCCTACTCAGATGGACGCACCGAGTTGTGTTGAGTTGAAAGATGTTTTTCTTATTTTTAAAAAGCCAGCTTTACTTTGGAGTAGATCTAACCATGTTAGGTTTCCGAATAAACTCTTGGATTTTTATTTTTGTTTGTATAGTTTTGACATACCCAACCAATATTTCACATCTAAATTATTCACACTAAGTAGTAAATACTATCCGTACATGGATATGTAGGAACATACATATATGTGTGGTAAAGGGTACAGGGTATATTACATGGTCGGGAAACTCGACCCTAACATTATATTTTGTTTTTGCTTATCATTGAAAGTCACATTGTTATTGTATTAGAATCCATTGACATATACCAGTAATTTTAAGACTATATATCTGATAAATGTGCGTATTACATATATATAGTATGTGTCTATTTCGACAGAATACATTTGTTAGCCATAAAGCATCTAAATGCAAATAAAACGCTTTGTCAAACAAGCACAAATCAAATTTAGTTTCATGAACAAGCATATGTATGTATAGTATGGAGGAAATGCAGAATATTTGTGAAACTATAGAATGGCGGGAAGGACTACTCTAAATCTTGAACTTTAATCGGCTCTACAATGCTACCAAACATTTTTATTGTTTAGGTAGCGTTGATTCTACATTCTCTATCCTAGAAGGAGAACTCTCCTATGATGAATCGGTCCCGCTCTATATTTTGGTTTTTTTTTTTTTAGGTCTTACAGAAATATTTGATATTTGTTAAAGATATTTTAGAACGGGTTATTCGGAGTGCTACGCTTTTATACAGGTTACAAATAAAAGGAAAACCACCTCTCAATGACACACGTAAGGCAACACGCCTACGATTACCAGAACTGGGACAAACAATGACAGAACGTAGTTTTTTCAGATGAAAAAGAGTTCAACCTAGATGGACTCCTACTTTCATGGCCTATGAAAGGAAGAATGTGTTTTGCGTTTCTTACTTTTAAGGCATAAGCTTCAGTTGTGTCGACAAAAATGAATGCTAATGTGAACAAAACTGTGATCCAAAAGGCATTCCCACATTTTTAAAATATTTTTGAACCGATGGCATGGTTGTATCAACAAAATAAGGCTCCCATTCATACCGCAAGAGTCGCAAACGCTTCAGAATATATTTACTTAATGGTGCCTTTGCACAAACCTATTAAAAACGCCCATCCGTTCCAATCAAGGTCTTTGCATATTTTGATAATATAATAGGATTGAATCGAGATACAAGTAGCTTAAAAAATCGAATGAATTGATTCTTGAGTTCTAAGATATTATGTACGCTATCGCTAAAATTGATTCTTACCATGATTCTTCATATTTAATTCATCGGTTAGTACCTACTACATTCGCCACTTTACCATTAAAACTAACATGCATGTGAACTTGTATTGAGCAAATTCAAATTCAATGTTGTGGCAAAAGTATAGACAATCACTAAATAACAAGGAGTATTAGAGAATGTGTACAATATTTGAAAACACTTTTGATTTCTATAGGCCATCAAGGTTGTGACATTTCCCAAAAACGAGTGGCAAGATTTGGACTTTTTTTTACCAACCAGCGGTATTTGCCAATGATCTTTCAGATAGACTTTAATGAAGTTCACTTTATATATAATAAGGTTTAAAAATAGCAGCCCATGTATATTTACATTCACAGGTACCTGATCTATATCCTATTTAAAAAATTTGATCCAAAAGAATTCAACTGGGAAGCCATGGAAATTTCGAACATTTGACCTACTTACCATAACTGTATTTTGCGTTATGTTACTGCTTTAAGTAAATTTGACCAATGTGCAACCAACTAGTTACATTATTATAAGGAGGATTACACTAATAGTCTATTGACAATAGACTAATAACTAAACTTAGACCGGAACTTTTAATGTTACTGGTCTGTATATCAGCAGGAAATATAATTATACTAAAACTGTGGATAAGAATAGTTAGTAGTTTCTGTTTTCCTTGCTTACGTGACGTTTTCTAATTTAACCGTCAAACGAGAAATACAGCGAAATACGTAATTTATTGCACCAAACATTCCAAACGCAACTTTATGAAAAAATAATGCGGCTACATAATGAATATGTTGAATTTGGTCTACATAACAGGTAATGCTTCAAAAGTTATCGTTTTCCATGGACAGATCGACAGACTTTTCGATCGGAGATGAATGATGTAAGATCGAATACTGAATTTAACGAGGAATAGAACTGATATAAATGTGTTTGTGCTTTTTTTTTATGTGGGCTATATACAGATTTAAAAAGTACGTTTACAATAAACTTCTTAATAAATATACTAATTAATTATGTATAATCGTTGAGTGTCATCATATCATCATGGACATAACATTAATTGGTGTAAAACCGGTATATGTGACACATAGATTCAAGTTGAGAAGTTTCCAATTTATACCAACGTTAATAAAAGTTACAAAAACTGTCCTCAAATTTGTATGTGCTTCTCATTTTTTAAGCATGCAGGCCATTTGCCAATAAAACCTAAGTTTAAGTAATAAAACGAGCACCTATAACATATAACCAATTAATAGTCCCCTCTTTTTAACGATATTAATGTTCTATAAGATTATGAACAACCTTTGATTATATGAGAAGTTGGTGAGAGCTTATTTTAAAGCTAGCGGTCGTTACAGGCCTGTGCTGCCATACTTATTTTCAACTCTGGTTCAGTGGCCGAACTAGCTCATTTGAGCGACGATCCACGGTGCTGCAATTGCGTCCGTCAGCTGTTTTGGCTAGCACCTTCTGTGAAATTTCAAATTAATTGCTGTGATAAAAGCTGTAAGTGCCCCTTGTCTTGACGCTGCGGTGTTTCCAGGTATACCTCCGTAACAAGTAAATGTAAGTAGGGTGCTCCGGACTCTGTGTGAAGAGGAACGGCCCTGCTGACTGCTTGTATGTATGTATGTGTGAGTGGATGATTTTTGCTGGGCAATTATACTTCAAAGTGATGTAATTGAGATTAGAGATAAAGCCCATCGATGTTGCTCTACAGGCAGATTAATAATAGTTATTTATTATATAAGCCACAAGCGTGCGTCGATTAATAGATACAAATGCATGAACACGTGCATACATACATACATACATCAGTAGTTATGGGGAAAGTTGTGTCTCATTAATAAGAGTATCTATCAGATATGCGTGATATACACAGCTACATAACGATAGAAAGCGGCGAACCGAACATGAATAAATGTTGCACACATACCCAAACAACAATTGCGACATCCAACGTTACTACGGCGCCCACAGCTTTGCAGCCGCGTTCCAAGTGTGTTCTGGCATTAGGCAGCAACAGCAGCAACAAGCACATGTCGGAGAAGCTGGAGAGGAGCGATTCCAAAGCGTCGCTGCCACTAACAGCTGACATTCGGGTCCAAATCGAAGGTCGGATGCAGACTGCCTTTGATTTTTTTACGCAGACACTGGAGCTGTACAGCGTGGATCAGTTGATGTTCTGTTTTAATGGCGGAAAGGACTGCACCGTGCTTCTGGACCTGCTGATGCGATACTGCCGGCTGCATAGCATCAACAGCCGGGACATACCCATGCTTTACATTAAGTCGGACGATGCTTTTGCTGAAATTGACGAGTTTGTGGCGCGCTGTGTGCGCCACTACAATGTTCAACTGATTGAGTACAAAGAGTCGCTAAAGGAGGCGCTTACGCACATGTCGGCGGATATGCCACGCATCAAAGCAGTGTTTGTAGGCAGTCGCAACACAGATCCATACTGTGAGCATTTGGAGCCGATGTCGGTAAGTCGCGCTCTGCTTCTCTCACCTTTGTCTAGCGTTTTACCTTTCTATCACACAGCCCACGGACAATGGTTGGCCGGCCATGATGAGGCTGAACCCCCTGCTGCAATGGTCCTACCACGACGTCTGGCACTATATACACATGTACAACGTGCCCTACTGCCGCCTTTACGACCAAGGCTACACATCGATCGGCTACAGGTCAAACACAGTGCCTAATCCGCATTTGCTACGCTGCGAAAGCGACACCCACTGCGCCAACGATGGTACTTGCTGCTATCGACCTGCCTGGGAGCTGGAAGACGCCACGCAGGAGCGCGCAGGACGCATAGCCAGGAAGCAGTAGTGATTATTTAGTTCTTTGGTGCAAAATTCTGTAAACTATCCAATTAAAGCTGTAAATATGTACATATGTATGTATGTCGGAGTTGATACAGATCTTTCGGGAACTGCATATGGGACAAAGATCATTTTTTCCTATTGCAAGGTGTATGTTGAATTTAAATTTATAAATGCTAATTTGAAGAAAAAATATCTGTGTACACGTACGAATAAATCTTACGATACGCAAGTAGAATTTTAAAATGTTTTCCTCGTTCCGTTTAAAGGTGCTGCCATTTAACAGCTGTTTAGTGTTAGATAATTGCACCGGGGGCTGCCACCTTTCGAGAACTACAGCTGTTTTAAATTTCGCAAAAACTACGTCGCTACTATGAAAATCAGTAATATTTATTTACGTAACTGAGTTAAATGAAAGAGAAGTAGCAGTGGCGGCCAATTCGACAGCACGTGCAACAAAAACAACTGAGCGCACGCAGTAGTTGAGGCATGTACGCACAATACAAAAGCTAAATGCACGCAAACAAAAACAACTTGTAGCTTTCTTACCGGCTACAAATTACAATCCCCCATACCAACCATACATCTCTCAACTCGCCAAACTTGTGATGTCGCGTGGGGCGAACGACGTGTTTGGTGTGCTGCGGGGCCTGCAAATAGTTGCGGAGGCGTGCGGACGCGAACATCTGGCGCTGACTAAGCACTTGTGGAGCAACTCAAGTATACGAGAGCTTCTCGTCGAAAATGTGAATCAGACAGCAGCCGCAGCACGTACAGCTGGCACACAACCAACGGAGGAACTTAAACGACTGCAACATTTATTGCAGGAGACAGGCGAGCGGGGCTACGTTGTGGCGAAAGGATTGTGTCACCTGTTGGAAACGAAGCTTCCCTCTGATTTGGCGATCATGCAACCAATCAGTCCGGGTATTAATGTGGCTGGGGTCGGCGCTGCAGGTGCGTCAACAGCTGGCCCTGCTGGTGGTGGTATAGCTCAGAAGAACGTGGCTGGAACCAGGGAAAATCTGGACGCAGCGAATTTGGACATATCGTCAATAACGCTGGAGGAATTCGAGGAAATATTGTCGAAACGCAACAAGAATCGTAGCATAAGTTTGCGCACACCAGCGACCAAAAGCAAACAGGTGCCAATTCCACCGCAGCAATTTGAAGACGCAGCGCCCAACGAGTGGGCGTCCCAGCCCGGTGTTATCGCTAAAGACACCACGTACGTGGAAAATATGTTACACTTTGTCGCCGGCTCTACGCCAAAAACGACTGCAAATACAGCAGGTTTAGGAACTGATACGGAAACTGCCACCTCAAGCACCAAGGCCATCGAACTGCCCGAGCTAAGCAAAGTGGCCAAGCAGCGCCGAGTACCTGCCTCGCGGCTGGGTCGTATGGCGTCTTTTGGTGGTCTTTTCGCTGGTCTAGGACTGGGCACGCTCAATGAGCTGACAAAGGGCGCTCTTGGCCTGGGTGGTGCGACCAACATGCGCGAGGCATTGCTAAGCCCGGCGAACGCAGAACGTATTGTGGACACGCTTTGTAAGGTGCGAGGTGCTGCACTCAAGATTGGCCAGATTCTTAGCATTCAGGACTCGAACGTGGTATCGCCTCAGTTGGCTAAGGCTTTTGAACGTGTTCGCCAGGCTGCCGATTACATGCCTGATTGGCAGGTGGAACGAGTGATGACCACACAACTGGGTCCCGATTGGCGGGCGCAGCTGAGTGCCTTCGACAACAAGCCATTCGCGGCGGCCTCTATTGGACAGGTGCATCGAGCCACAATGCTCGATGGCATGGACGTGGCCATCAAAATTCAGTATCCGGGAGTGGCGCAAAGCATCGAGAGCGACATTGACAATCTGGTGGGCATGCTCAAGGTGTGGGACGTATTTCCGCAGGGCTTCTTTATTGACAACGTTGTCCGTGTGGCAAAACGCGAGCTCATATGGGAAGTGGACTATTTGCGTGAGGCGGACTATACAGAAAAGTTTAGGGAGATGATTGAGCCCTACTCCGAGTACTATGTGCCTAAGGTGGTGCGCCAACTGACTACGTCGAGCGTGCTGACGACAGAGCTGGTGCCAGGCGTGCCGCTAGACAAATGCTTCGATCTGAGGTAAGTGTGCAAGAAAGAAAGAGAATGCTTCACACCAATAATGCGCGCCTTTTGTCCAACAGCTATGATCATCGCGCGCATATTGCCGCCTCCGTGCTAAAGCTCTGCTTGCGTGAGCTCTTTGAGATCGAGTGCATGCAGACGGATCCCAATTGGTCAAATTTTCTTTACGATGCACCCAACCGTCGGCTTATGCTTATCGATTTCGGTTCGACGCGGTTCTACAAACATGAGTTCATTAAGAACTATCGACAGGTAAGCATTGGTTTGAACGGCTCGCTTTATCTATAATCGGTTCACCTCTATCCTTCCACTTCAGGTGATTATCAGCGCCGCCCAAAACAACCGCCAAGGCGTGTTGGACATGTCCCGCGAAATGGGATTCCTTACAGGGTATGAGACCAAGCAAATGGAGCAGGCGCATGTCGACGCAGTTATGATATTGGGCGAGATATTTCGCTATGATGGTGAGTTCGATTTTGGGAAACAAAACACCACAGAGCGCCTTGCGGCGTTGGTGCCCACTATGGTAGCGCATCGCCTTTGCCCGCCACCCGAGGAGATTTACTCGATACATCGCAAGCTGTCTGGAATATTTCTACTGTGTGCGCGATTAAATGTGCGCATGAATTGTCGGCCCTTCTACGAGGAAATTATTATTCGCAAATTCAAAGACTAACAAATGAAACCCAAGGTCTTGTAGAACCTAATTTTAATATTTAAATTTTCAAATATCTGCAAGAATGTTATACTTTCGCTTAAAAGTTCAATTCAATGTTCCAACATATTAAGAGAATCAGCTTATAGTATAGTACAAAAATACGCTCGACAAAGCCTTAAATACCTGTAATGAAAACGACTTCTCACAAAAATAGTTTTGTCTTAGCATCATAAGAAAGTATGCTCTGATCTTCATGTAAGTTCATGTAAGTTTTGAACAAGAAACATATATTACACAGTATGGACTCTTTTGGGAAAACTAAAGAGTCCATTCTCAAGCCATGCACGGATTTCTTTTTATCTAATCGCTGTATATCTGAGGATTTGGAGGAATACTCTGACTTAAATGTTGACAAGGAATTGGACCTCGATGATGTCGCCAAGGAGCTTCGGCAGATAACTCGCTACGTAGACCAACTCGAAATAAAACTCAATCTTAAAATAGAACCTTGTCCAAAGCCTGGCCCTTGCGGCGAAGATATTGGGCTAGAAGGGTCCAAATATCCGGAAATATTCAAAATGCAGCTCGACTCTCAAAAACTGCAAGTGCAGTTCAAGGATTTAATGAGGAGTGAAAATGCAAGTCAGATCAGTCTGACAACGCTGGACACCATGCTAGTTAGACAGAACGCAGCGCTATGCGAAGTACGCAAAGAGTACAACAATTTGTTATCCCTTAAGTTGCAAAGAGACCGTGAATTTGGTCTGTGCACTCAACGCTACAAACAAATGCGAAAAACTTTCTGCGAATGGAAGCTTCAAGACCAGTTTAATTCAAAAATGCAAAAATTGTTTGAAGGCTCCCTGGAGCGCTTGGTGTCCACGAAGAAGTATAGGCGAGAGAAGTTGAGCTTAATGCAGGAAGCAGACCTAGCCTGCTCAGCCTACATGAAAGCTATGCAGCGGATTGTACAGCGGGCCAAGGAAGCTGAACAGCGACTTAACTTATTTGGCGATGAGCGACCGATGTGGCACCAGCCAGCACCTCGCTGTACAACGCCCTCCCGCCAAAAGGTGGCCGATCAGAGGCGGAAAGAGAGAGTCCCTACAAACCGATCATTAATTGCTTCAAGAAAGTAGTGTCGGCTTTTATTTAGTAAATAAACAAATCTGCTGGCAGACTTCAAAATAATGGCAATTAATTGTCGCACTCTATACATACGATTGTATAGATAAGTACTTGTAGTTAGAAGGTGTTCAATTAGTTTTGTTTGCTGTGGAACACCGAAGCCTTGCGAGGTGTGTTAATTTAGTTCTGAAAGCGAACAATATATGATTATCTTTTGGTTGCAACGCTCACAATAGCCTTTCAAGTTTTTTTTTTCACATTCACACGAGTTTTTAACAAACAATAAAAATTATTAAAATTAAAGGAAAGTAAAACAATAAGAAAATCGTAATAAATAAATGGAGACTACATATATAAGGCGTCAATATACATACACGTGTATGTAAAATCCAACCTACTGCGAAAGACTGTTTTGAATAAAATCATTCCAGCTCAGGAGGAAGGTTCAATTTAAATTGAAACACCAACTATTATACAACACTTAAAAAAAAAACGTTTACCACAAAATATAAAGGATAAACTATTAACTACATTTTCAATCATTTCATTCGCAATAGAAATCAAAGCGCTGTGAGAAATATTTGCTTATTAATTTGTACGTTGTACGTTTAGCTATCTGTATATATTAATAAAAAAATGTGGGCGCTTCTTTAAGGCGGTACGCTAAGGCAAATTCGCGCTGAAAGGAAATCTGTTATCGTCGCCTTTTGCACAAATGAACAATTTGGTGAATGTAAATAAAATTGATTGATAGTGGAAGCCAAAATTATTCCTCCTTATATTTTTTATATTTTTAAAGCCATCGCTCACATGGGCTTTTTTATTTATACAAACAGATAATTTGTCCAATCCAGCGGAATCTGACCATCATAGATAGAATCGATTTCTAACTATGTACATATGTATCGATGTAAATCAACAAGATGCTTACATCTAAGCATAAAACGAAAGTAACATCCATATATATTGTAGGCCCTGAACAACCCACTCTTCCAAGCAACCAAAAAGTGGAAAAACGTCAGCATTATGTTTTACACAACAAAAGACGCATATTAAAAACCCTAATTAAACAACTACTTATATTATATACATATATAGTATACTATATATTTAGAAACATAGAAACTAAAATGGCAGGTCATCGTAGATAATCATGTATATTTAATGTAGCATACTTTTGGGATACATTTGTGCATATCGTTCGCCATATTGTTGAACCAGAAATCGGCCGCAATGAAGATGAAGCTGAAGGTGAATAATCGAATGTGAATAACTGAGTAGAAAACTAGTCAAACAATAAAAATCTAAACCTAAAAATCTTCCTAATTTTAATAAAAATAATGAATATTTTTTTTTTTTTACATATATACAATTTATTAAACTAGTTTTCTACTACCAATATGGCAGCTTAAGCTAGTTGAAAGTTAGGGAATACAAAAGTTGTCTATAGTAAGCATCTATAGGACGCACTTATATCTATGTACATATATACAATATTTACAATGTTTTACATTAGAAATGAAATTATATTTTATGATATATATTATATATTTTATACAAGGGATCTTGTGGGGAGATCCTTTGGATGGCACTTCTTCAATCTTCTCTTAGGTTTGGACAGGAGCCGCCTCGCTAGTGCGTTGGGGTGACTGCCGAGTCGCTTCTCGTAATTGCTTGCGTGCATTTGAATGACATCGCCAACCTTGGGGACACATAAGTCTCTTTCGATGTCCCTAGTGCGCATATACCAGGGAGCGTTGCATATTTTTCTGAGTATTTTAGCTTGCGCAACTCTTATTTTGTTTAGGTTCGATGCAGCGGCAATGCCATAAATTGGTAGCGCATACTTCCATATTGGACTTAATATGGACTTGTATACTGTCACCTTACTGTGCAGAGACAGCTTGTTGCAGGGTGCAAGCAGCCATGCCATCTTTCCGGCTTTTGCCATGACCGATCGCTTGACCATTGTTGTATGCTTGCTGAAGTTGAGTCTTGTATTTTTTGACTGAGCGTGGACCCCAACATTGTGATATCTCTGCATGACGACGGCCTTGTTGTAAATGTGACATTCGCACACTTGCTGGCGTTGATACCAATGTTCCAATTCAGAGCCCACTTCTCGAAACTACTTACATACTGCTGTAAGGCTTCCGAAGCTACATCGATATCTCTGCATCTGGTAAGCACGGCAGTGTCGTCTGCGTAAGTAGCTATTAGTGCGTCATCCTCGTCTATTCCAAGGATCTCTTGCGGTGCAGGCATATCAGCAGTAAATAATGTATACAGGGTAGGAAATAATGAATATTAAAACAAAATGTTCATTTTTGTGCTCTGTACCTGAAAGGTACTAGGTGTGTCTGCTGAAAAATGTAACAGGTAGAAGGAGGAGATGGAGACACCAAATCTTACACAAAGATGCCTTATGTGGGTACGCTCTGCAAGATTGTTCTATTTTTTGATTTTCCCCCATCTTCGCCTCTATGGGGGATTTTTAGAAACGCCGCTCATATCGTGCACCAAATATGTATTTAGTGTATTACAGAATTTTCGTCCAAAGAGGTATAATCGATAAAAAATGTTTATATTACAATTTCGTTATTTTTTTTTTTTTTATATTTATTTAATTATTGTATTTTACATAAATTTCATAAATCGTTATTCTTTACTGCGTCAGAGCTTCTCAGTTGGTTATGAGTAAAACATTCTTTTCGTAGGTCGATCCCTACTAATTCGAAGGTTTGGCCTTGGGACTTGTTGATAGTTAACGCGAAAGATGTTTTGCTCAGAAATTAAAGCCGTTTAAATGGGATTGGCATATCAGTTGGGATCATCGGTATTCTCGGAATATGAGCTCGTTGATAAGCTGCTGGACCGTTGATTATGGTTGCCTAAATTATGCTGCAATTCCTTAATAACTTTAACTTCAATTCATGTGGCGTCAGTCCATAAGGGCTTAGTGAGTTTAAAGCTCCTGTGGGTAATGGGTTGTGTCTTTGGCTTTTTGCATCAACTCTCAGGGCCTTCTACAACAATATTGTTTCCCGTCCGACTGGTATCGAGTAAATTTCGATTCATTCGATCATATAACTTTTTTCCAGTCCTCCACAGTCTAGTTTTTGTGACCCTTGGCAAATTTTAATCAAGCTTTGATGTTCATCGGTGATAAGGCTGGTTTCTTCTTCTTCAATTCTGAGATGTACCCAATGCGCTTAAGTGCTCGACATGCAGTCCATTGGCTAACGGGCTTGTCTATGGTTGCGGCAGCATCCTTGGGTCTCAAATTCTTCTCCTTTTTTATCCTTTGCCTAATAAGCCTTGCATTTGCATCAAATAAAACTTTTCGTCGTTTTTGCATACGTATGACTGGTGATTGGCTGATATTTAACTCACTAGCAGGTCCTGATCTCAATCCAATCGAAAACTTGTGGTCGATTGTGAAAAGACGATTGGGACCCCACCAATCGATTCCAGCATATCAGGAGGATTTGTGGCAGCGAATCCAGCAAAGGAAATTATAGAAAATTTAGTCAAAAGTATGTCAAATAGAATTGAAAACATAATTAAAATTAAGGGTCATTGGACAAAGTACTAAACACAAATTTTTCATGGATTCTGTTCAAAAGTTTCAAAATGAGCAAAATTGAGTACTAGCTGTTTTTGTTGTTTTCAATTTTACTACGTTAAGAATTACATGATTATGTTTTGTTTTGTGCATGGATCTGTTAAGATATATTAAGAGTATAAACAGAAACAAATTGGATTCATTTGCTTTGCTAATAACTTTTTTAGGCGGACCAACACTCATTTTTGCACGCCACTGTATGTACAATGTATTTCGAACTCGGGACACCAACGCTTAGCTTCTCCACTTGTTTATTAAATTGGTTTAATTTTTTTTCATTTCTTTAATTATTCTTAACATATTTTCAAAGTATTTCAATCTCGGGACATCCGACAGCTGAGCTAGCCAAAGCAAGCACGGAATACATACTTATCTCTCTTATAGGGCTATACAGTAACTGGAAGTACAACACCTGGACGAAGGATACTATGCAGTGGAAAAACATTTTTTAGATGATAAGCCATGTTCAGAAAAAATCCCTCATAGCCTCCTGCAACCTGTAGAAGGGAATTCGGAGTCACCATCGCAGGTCATTGCTTTAGATGCCAATGCCTAACATAGCAGAGCGCAACAAAATGAGAGACTTTTAATGAAATGCCGGACAATATTGCTGCTGACTTTACGTAAAACAGCACGATACATGTGACTAGTTTTAAAAGGTTGTGCATTGATGTCTCTTACAAATAATAATATCAGACTAACTGTATATCAAAGGAACAATCTTTATATACTATAATGTAAAAAACAAAAATACATTTAAATGCGAATAATATTAGTAAATTTTAATACGGGGTTTTCAGAAAATGCAGTCCTAACTAATTTCAGTTCTGAACCGTCGAAACAAAATGATTTTAGATTTCTTTATTTGCCATACAAGTATTTTCATTTGTTAACTGCTCTGACCTAAGATATGGCTCCCCTTCCATGTGAGCTTGCAAAAAATCCTATTCAACTGAGAAACACCCGAATTCTTTTTAGAAAATTAAGTAGGCTTAATAATATAAACTGTTTTTCAAACTGAGAGCAGCTCCCAGTTGATACATATGTGTGCAGTACAGAATTAAGTCAACAAACAGCAACAACAAATGCGGGCAGAGCTTGGGCAGAGATTACATTTATTTTTAATCAACCTATGATAATGAAACTCGCATGCGGACATACTACAATCGCTAACTGGATAAAAATGCCAAATTTTAATTCAACATTCCAAGACTAGCGTGACTAGCGGGGAAGTGGGGGGGCATCGGAAAAAATGAACAATACTGTCCTTTCTCCGACTTCGGAGAATCTGAATGCCAAACCTGGTTATTCTAAATCTTATACTTTCTGAGATCCTTGCGTTCATACAGACAGACAGACGGACAGACAGACAGACATGGCTATATCGACTCGGCTTGTCACTCTGATCAAGAATATATACTTTATGGGGACTGCCACGTCTTCTGTGTGTTACATGTCCACTCGCACAAAACTAACACCCTTTTACTATTACACTTTTACCCATTGGGTGCAGGGAATACTGTGCTTATGAGAAAGTCTTCAAAATTTGGCGAACTAATGTCCAGATGCATACGGCATTTTTATACCCTGTACCCGTAGGGTAAAAAGGGTATATTAGGTTTGTGCAAAGTATGTAACATACAGAAGGAAGCATCTCCGACCCCATAAAGTATATATATTCTTGATCAGCATGACGAGAGAAATCGATCTAGACATGTCCGTCCGTCTGTCCGTCCGTCTGTCCGTCCGTCTGTCCGTCTGGATGAACGCGAGGATCTCAGAAACTATAAAAGCTAGAATAACCAAAGTTGGCATCCAGATTCTCCTAGATCCGAGTAAGGACGAGTTTATTTTTTTTTTTAATTTTCCCCCCCTTCCCCCGCTGCAGAATTTCGTCAATACCGTCCACATTTCAAATGCTACCTAAACCAAACTTTGCACACATAATTTTTTTTTTTTTAATTCGGTAAACACACTATGCTTGGACTTTTTGGCTTCCAATCGCTCTACTGGGCAGGTAAATGCGGCACAAGATTGCAATAACGTTTAATTTTCTGCTACAAAAATTAAAATGAACAAGAGAGAACGCCACAGTCGAGCAAGCCCGACAGTGTAATACCCTGTACCCAGGTAAACTTCCGTCACTGAGTTATATGCGCCCATAGCAGCAGCAAAAAGAGGAAGAAGAAGAGCGAACTTGTTGCTGCAGTTTGTGGGTTTTTGGTTGTACTGGCGAGAATTTGTTTCGCTAATAACTTTTCTTAGAATTGACCGAATTGAATAAAATTTTGAACAACAGTAGACAATTATATATAAATTAAATGTGCAAAGTTTAGGTAGCATTTGAAATGTGGACGCTATTGACAAAATTCTGCAGCGGGGGAAGGGGGGGAAAATTAAAAAAAATAAAATAAACTCGTCCTTACTCGGACCTAGGAGAATCTGGATGCCAACTTTGGTTATTCTAGCTTTTATAGTTTCTGAGATCCTCGCGTTCATCCAGACGGACAGACGGACGGACAGACGGACGGACAGACGGACGGACATGTCTAGATCGATTTCTCTCGTCATGCTGATCAAGAATATATATACTTTATGGGGTCGGAGATGCTTCCTTCTGTATGTTACATACTTTGCACAAACCTAATATACCCTTTTTAACCTACGGGTACAGGGTATAAAAATATATTGCGATGAAATGATGCCCAAGCATTCTTACGAGTAAGTGCCCTTAAATTGGACTTCATTCTAAAACTTGCATATACCCTTCCGCAGGAGGACAACACACACGCTAAGGAAAAACAAATCATCAGGAAAAAGTATTCAAGATGAATTTTTTAAGGAACTTGGACTGAGAGTCGAATCGAATGATGGGAACTCATCTCGGAAATTTTTTCAAGAATCAATGACAATATAAAACCCACCCCAAAAAAATCAAATTAAAAACAATTAATTATAAAATATTTAATTAATTTAGTTAATTATAAAATTGTACATAAAATATTCATAATGAAATTCGTACTTTCTCGGACTTAGGAGAATCTGGGTAACAAGTTTGGTTATTCTATCCCTTATACTTCCTGAGATACTTGCGTTCATACAGACAAACAGACGGACGGACAGACGGACATGGCTATATCGACTCGTTTTGTCACCCTGATCAAAAATACATCTACATTGTGGGATATGCCACAAATGCCACATGATCAAAAATTAAACTCAAGCTGAAATTGTGTCTTTTTCATAAGGATTAATGACAAAATTAATATATGTATATCCTTAATCAGTGAGTCAAGGCGAGCATTTTTAATTAATTAATTTTTAATTAACTAATTAATTCATTTATTTAATATTTGTTTTGAAAATCACAAATGCGAATGTATGTAACAGGCAGAAAGAGGCGTGGCAGACCCCACGAAGTATATATATTCTTGATCAGCATGACAAGACGAGTAGATATACTTGTACATACCCATGTCTGCCTGTCAGTTTATCTGTCAGTTTGTCTGTTCGTCTGTACACCTGGATCTCAGAGACCATAAGAGCTGGCGACACAAAATTTTGCACACAGATGCCTTATGTGAATACGCAAAAACTATGGATTTTAGAATTTGACTCCCTCCCCCCTCTCCCCGGAAAACACTGCTTTTCCATAACATGTTAATTGAAATTCGGAAAATACCTCCAGTTAGTCCGTATGCCAAGATTCATAAAGATAAGCCGATTTAACAGGAAGTTATAGCCATATATGTATATATGACCTAGCAGTGCCCGCAGCTGTTGTTGTTGTGCCTGCTTTGCACAGCCACACAAGACATAGACATACACGCATTATTATTCCACACATACATATGTACAGAGGATTTCAATGTCGGGACACCCGAACTTAGCTTCTCTACTTGTTTTTCGGAATCTGGATACCAAGTTTAGTTATTCTAGCTCTTATACTTTCTGAGATCCATGCGTTCGTACAGACAGACAGACAGGCGGACGGACAGACGGACATGGCTATATCGACTCGTCTTGTCACCCTGATCAAAAATATAAATACATACATATATACCTACTTTGTGGGTTCTGATACGCCTTCATTTGTGTGTTTTACGCTTTGGGCATAGGGTACAAAAATTTAACAAAAAGATTAACAAAGTGTTTTAGTGGAAAGGTGGGGAGTTTGGAGACCCTACCTTCTTGTATTATATTCTCGAAGACAGTCGCGATTGTAGAGATATGCGGACTTATCGAGAACGACTTGTCTTGTCTTGCTAAAACTAAACGTTCTGATGATACGCTTCGGGTACAGGGTAAACAATTCACCTGCTGCTTTCGCCAATGCATGTCATCCAATGTGATTGAAAATATTCAGTTTAAAATATGGTACAACGGCTCATTCAAGTTCATTTGCATACATATGTACATACTTGTATGTAGATTATAATTGATTCGATTTAAATATTCAAATATACACGTACATATGTATGTATGATTGTACATACATACATATGAACATACTCGTACGTGTATGTATTAATGGACACCAGACAAGATAGTATGGCCCGATTATCCAGAGCATCCGTTTGCTCTTACGATAAGCGTTGCTCTTGCGCATTGCGCTCTTTCCTACCGACCGCGATATGGTGTTGTTGTTGCGTCGTTCACGGTTGGGGCTGAGAAATGCGTACGCCCGCTCAGCCCACTTATGCTCAATTTTTACTATTGGCGCTCGCAGCGACAGTGAGAGCGATGGCGACGGAGCCGGAGACGGCATTGCGTCGTCGCTTATTCGTTTTCAGTGCGTTTTTGCATTTCGTGCGTGCCAGATCGTTCGTCGTGCATTTCGTGCGTTCGCTTATGTTGTTGTGCATGTATTACACGCGAATATGTACATACGTATGCATGTACATATATGCATATATACATACATACATACATACATACAAACAAACAAGCATACATACATGTGTACAAAGGTGTTTGGGGTGTGCGGCTGACGACGTAGTCGTAATCAACAACAACAAATGCCCGTGCTTTTATTTTATTTACTTTAATTCCATCGTTGTTTTTTTTTTATTTATTCAATTTGCGATGCTTTGTAGTTTGTTGATATTGTTTGGCTTGCTGCCCGTTGCCGTTGCCACTGCCACTGTTGTTGTTTTATTTAAAATAAATATGTACGTATGTATGCATGTATGTAAATATGTATGTACGTATGTACGTATGTATCGAGTTGGTTGTGCGGTCAACGCGTTGTTGTCAACATCGCCGCCACCGCCACCACCACCACCACTCACATCCATCGTCGTCTTCGCTTCTTAAAGCTGCGCGCGCGCTTCGTTTTAATGCGCGGGCTGCCTGCATTTAATAAAATCAATTATGTTTATTTTTTTTAGTTCTTTTTGTTATGCTGAGTGTGTGTGAGTGTTCGTTGTAGTGTCCAGTTCGTGTAAAAGAAGCCTACAACTACTGTACCATTGCAGTGCAAATACACACACATGTACAACAAGCACACAACATAAAGAATGTGTATGTGTGTGTGTGCGTGTGCGTGTGAGGAAGTTGTAGTTTAATGTTGGTTAGTTTCAATTGTCATCCGCGACCCACTGTTGTTGCTGATTGATGTCGGTTATTACTCTTGTTGTTGTTATTGTTGCTGTTGTTACTGTGTGCCTATCGCTGAGCTTGCGTGCATACATGTGTGTTTAAAACAAAAGCCAACCACGACGCAGACAAACTGCAGCAGCAGCATCATCATCATCATCAGCAGCATCTAAAGCTCCTCCACCACTGGGACAGTGCTGCTGCTGCTGCTGCTGCTACTGCAGCTACTTCTGGTCGGTAATCTTGCCGACTACAAGTATTGGGACTGTAGCAGCAGCCTGCTGATGCTATTGTTATTGTTGTTGGTACTGATTTCATTTATCAATGAGTGGTTGCAGCAGTGAACAGCAGTGTTTACACTGTGGTACAATTTTTATCACCATTGACGCCAGTCCATGTAGTGGCGAAACCACCAGCACATTGTGAGTGTGATCTGATCGATATGCCAGCCAAAAGGTTCAATGCACTTTCCAAATTTGTATTCAAATTTAAAATAAGTTGACTATAACGGGATTTATCGTGCCTTAAACGATCTCTTTGAACATTTTTAGACAATAACGAACTTTACGTATGTATGTATTTATATGTTATATTTATATATATTTTTAGGGATCGGGAAACCATGCTCATTACAAAAATTATTACATAGATACATACTACGAAAAAAAAAATCTTTATATAATGTTCTTTATACGATTTTAAAAATATATTTTGCAAACATTTTAAGCAATTATCTAAGTAAACGTAACTTTATCACAAATTCTGTTTGAAACATAATCTTGCAATGAAAGTGGTTTAATATAATTGAGTGAAATGGAGTTATTGTTTCAATCATTCCCACACGTTTTCGATAATATTGAGATATGGAAAGAAAAATGGCAATCAAATTTATTTTTAGCTGAAAGCTGTCGAAGTAATCTGTCTGTTTACTATTAAAACTTTGGCATACATATGTATGTACATAGATAGGTAGAAATTGCAATTTTTGAGTACTGTATTAGATTTTATTTCCAGTATCCAAAGAGTACAAGGAGATAGTAATTAAGTTCCAACGTATGTAATACCTAAAAGGAGGGGTGCCAGGATCTATAAAGTCGATATAGCTATATCTATTTGTTAGCCCGCCTGCCTGTATTACCGCAAAAGTCTAAGAAAGTACTCGTATATCTTATATCTAAAATCACCCTACTTTATACAAAAGGCCTCCTGGCTCTATGAATATTATTGTTTTGAAAGCTTCCGTAATTTAACGAATTTTCTTTTTTCTAAATTTGGGAACCTTATTTTTGCATTTTTGTGGCTGCAACCTAGGATAAGAGATCTTACAAGAGGATTTGGATGTGAAACGAGTCTTATTTGATGTTCTAAAATTTCTTCTCTTACGAGCTTGATGTATGGGACTCTGTGAATTCTCTCGTTATGGTGGTACTTTGGTGCCCCAGTGATGGTTCTCAGGATTTTGGACTGCGCTCGCTGAATGATGTTGGCGTTGCTCCTGCTTGCATTGGCCCAAAACTCATAGCCATTATAGTCCAGGCATAGCGGGGAGCGAGCGTTTATAAGCCAGTGGAGGTTCCTTGCCTTAAGCTTCAGCTGCGTCGTCCTTGCTTCTAAATATATGCTAAGGGCAGTTGGGCCGTCTGTCTAAATGAATGTCCAAGAAGGTGAGCCGATGAAGTGCTTTTGGAATACGTGCGTTGTTCAGGAGCAGAGGAGGGCAGCTTTGTATTAACATAAATTTGATTTAGTATATGTACATGTATTTTAATACTTTTATACCTTGATTAATTAATGAGATAAAAGTTACTCAGTAATACTGCGTGCGTAGGTAACGTGTCAGAATACCTGATTGATCTGTACGCATAACGTTTTCAAAACTGAGCGGTTGGAACAACTTCATACTATATCCTAAAGCTGATCGGTCGTATGTTAACGACTGCACATTTACATCTGGATTGTGTCTATGCGTATCTTTGCGCGGGTGTATGAGTATAGTACAGAGTTGGGGTAAAGCTGGGTCGGAGATTAAATTTATGCCTTTAACTTCCTTTATAATTAATTTATAATCTATAATGATGAAATTTATGTCGGATCTAGGTGATTATGGGAAAGGGAGGGGATGGGACAGTGCCTTGCAAATAATAAAATAAGCCTGCCCAGCGTACACATAAGGCATCTGTGCACAAAACTTGATGTCTCTAGCTCTTATTGTGTCTCAGATCCAGGAGTTCATACAGACAGACAAGGCTAGATCGACTAGCCATGCTGGTCAAGAATTTATATACTTTGTGGGGTCGTCTACGCCTCCTTCCAACCGGCACAAACCTAATATACTCTTGAGTCTCTCTCTCTCTTTTAGGAGTACAGAGTATGAAGAGTGTACATATATACTTACATATACTTAAATCACATCGGAATATTGATCATATATCTGTCATACGGCCGATCGGTTTTGCAATAGCTTCTTAACCAAGTTTGATAACCATTGGCTAATATAAAACGCTAAGCGCCAATATTTGAATTTGAACTAAGTCCAACGACTTCATTATTCAGTTAGCGGAGGCACGATTATTTAATTAACAAGTTGTTGTTTGTAAAGACCAAAAAGGGGATTCGGAAAGTTTGCATAGCCAATGATGTTGAAAAGCTTAAAATGCGCGGCAGAAGGAGGCGTGTCAGACTCCATGTTATAAGGCGGGAGACCAGAATTGGCGCGTAGACTATAGCCAATTTATTTTAGATACTAGTTGAAAATATAATACTTTTTTCTATTATAAAGTCATGTCTACCAATTTGTATGCTTATAAACTCTTTATAATTGTTCATCATAGTCTGGTTTTAACGTTCTGCTCGTACTATTTATATATTATTAATTTCGAATGGTTTTTTCCAATTTTCATTTAATTGAGCAGTCACCATCAAAATACCTTTTGAATGATATATAAATTATCACATGCGGACATAGGTCTATAGGATAGACTGGCAGCACGGCTGAGCACTCCCTTACCCCTGAAGTACAGATAGTGATGGGCTCCGGCTCTTGCCGCCAATGTCGATCAATATTGTTTCAGTACTATTTAATATGATTAAAAAAAATCGGATAATTAATTGTTTGTCCGTGCTTAAAAATGATTGACAACTTAATTTTGCAAGGCTTTTGGGTGCTTCTACTTTGTTATTCGTTTCATATTTTGTTTTCAAAAGTACATATGTTATTTAACGATCATCTGACAAATACCCATGTACATATGTACATAGGTCGGCACATAAGTTGTTGTGTCTCTGAACGAACTAGTTGCTCTACTAGAGACTACTTGTACTCTTCCTTTATTGGTATGAGCTCCCTATTCGTGATTTAGAATGCAATATACTTGTATGTACTTGTAATTATCTCCTTCACAATCGGATTGATTGAAAGAGCTTTATATAAGTACAGTAATTATAACATATCAGCAAACTAATGCAAGTACAAGTTTGTAAAAGATTAAATAATTTGTGACGGCGATTTAGCCCGATTAAAGCAATAACAAATTTACAATGACATGGGGAAATGGACTCAAGACTAAAGAACAGAATTGCAAAATTTTTGATCGAGCCGTCAATTAGAAGAAGTTGCAAATAACGTCTTTAGTATGGGAGTGGGATGGTGAATCGATATAAAACTTCAACGTGCTCTGCCTTGAATTGTGATCAATTTGGGTACCAAATTTGGAAAATGTAGCTTTAATACATACGATATGATATACGTGAGGAGGTGTATAAAGAAAACTAATAAAGTGTCCTTTCCCTTTTATACTTTCGTACATCGTTGAGTTCATACAGTCATAGGGGCATTTACAAATTTATATTTATATAATATATGTATAAACTTTCTGGGGTCTGCCACGGCTGCTTCGGGTGCTATAAAAACTATAGGAATTAATATTATATTTTTACCGTTCGGGGACCGGGGTACTTTAAATGAAGTAAAAAAACTTACAGGGTTTCAAGAAAAATCAAATTGAAATTCACGTATCGATATGATTTGAATGAGGTTGTTTTCTTTTCGAACCAACAATTGTGGATAACTCAAATAGTTTTTCGTTCACAATCTGTACCCCAAAGAGGAAAATGCTACAAATTACTATTTTTAAACAATATTTCAAATGGAATTTAAAGAATGCTATGCTTTTTTCCGCCATGTCATTCGCGCTTTGATCATAAATTTGGATATCTTTTGCTTATAATGTCTATGAATAGGAATGGAATGCAAGAGGCGAGCGAACTGTTAAATACACCTTCTATAAAAAAGTAGTTATTTAATTATAATATTTTTTAATGGAACTAATGGAACTAATGAAATAAACAAATGAACAAAAAAATAAATAAAAAATATATATACAATAATCTACTATACATATATAGTATATGTATGTATGAACGTACATTACTACATCTATCGATGCAGGTTTACAATTACATAAAATTTCAAACAAAAAAACATTAGGAACTCTTCTTAATTAGGTCTAAGGAGTATATGGACACCTACACGACCTATACTTCAGACGGAGAGTCGGGCTGTAAGACAGGCATGGCTTTATCGGCTAGTCTTGATCAAGAATATGCTCGAACTTTGTGGGGTCTGCAATGCCGCCTGGGTGTTACATAAATTCGCACTAAACTAGCCTTTAACCCTTTGGGTACATGACATACAAATTGTGAATTTAATTTGCGTGTGATCGCGATGGAAATTTGCGTCACGCGCACAGCCCTGTTGCAAATAATGACTTTATATGGGCACTGTATGCAGGTATAAACATACATACTTGTACATACAAGTAGACATAAATTTGCGACTGCATTTGTATGTACATATGTACATACATATGTATGCACATATATGAAGGTTTTTTGTACATATGATTAGACTTATACACGAAAACATTCTCATATACATATGTATGTGTGTATGAATGTACCTAGAAACACAAAAATTCATTCGCACATATGTACGTACATAAATACATTCACAACTACTATACATAAGTTACATATGCACACATCTACATACATACATATGTATGTACAACATATATGTATGTAATTCGCTTGTGTAGCAACTAATGTCGTTGTCATTTGCCGCTAGTGTTGACAACGCAGCAGCCACTGCCGCTACCGCTGCGGTTGTTGTTGCTATCGCAGTAGCGGCGGCAGCGGCAGCGGCGGCGACAGCACCAACAACATGAAAGAAACTTTTGATAATCATATCACGCAGTCCGCTGATAATTCCTATTGTATTTTCTGTAGTCATATGTAGTTGTTTCTTCTATTGCCATTGTTGTTGGCTTCGCTGTTGCCGCTACCGCTGCTGCTGCTGCTGCTGCTGAGATCGACGCGTGATTAACAGCGCTTTGTCAACTGCTCGCTCAAAAGCGTTTGCGTTCTCTCTCGCCGGGGTGTCTCTTTTCCTCTTTGTCTAAGAGTAAGATTTCTCTTATCCAGCAGTGACAACAGCAGCAACAATTGTGTCTTTGAAAATACTTATAAATTTATATTGCAATACTTTTTCTTTCTATTTTAAGGTTGCATCATAGAAAATCTTCATCCCTGGAATGTCTATTTAGAGGTAAGTAGAACTTATGTTAGTGCAAGCAATGTCGAAAGTCCCCAACACCTTTAGTCATTTCTTTATCAATTTTTCGAGAGTTAAGGCAGAAATATTTGAAGTTTCTTGTCGATGTTTCGCTAAAGCAAATTTTTCCTAAAGGTCAAAACTATAGTGTTAAATAATTCTGTTATGTTTCAAACCTGCATTTTTGGACTTTTGAGCTCTCGCAAAAATTGTTCATTCAAAGTTATGTTTAGTTTAATGATCATTGTCGTCGTCAACGTATTTTTCAATGCAGTTTGTTTTTGGTTTATTATTATTATATATTTTCTTTATTTTTTATTTTTCTTGGCTTTTCATTTGTTGACATGGTAAAACAAGGGGAGAAGCTAAAGTCGGATGTCCCGACTTTGAAATACTCTGTAGATATGTATGTGTAGAATAATTATAGAAATGAAAAAAATTAAGAAAATTCAAAAAAAATTATAAAACAAGAAAGGAACGCTAAAGTCGGGCAGGCTGAACTCTTAAATACTCTGTACTCACTCCCACAAAAAGAAAACATTAAAAACAAAAAAATTTGTTAAAATTAATAAAAAAAAAAGATATTAATCAATTGAATTAAATCAAAAATATATAATACAATCATACATATATGGAAATGTTTATGTACAGTTTCAACAGCATACATTTGCATCAGAATCGTTTCTATGCGTATTTATATGCGTGTATGTATCTATGCAGTACATAATTAAGTCAAAGAAGCAACAAAAACAGCTGCGGGCAGAGTTTATATTTAAGGCTATAACTTTCTTTACAATTGACCTTTCATGATGAAACTTGGCATACGGACACATAATCACTAGCGGAATTGCCAAATTTGAATAAGAATTTCAAAAAATTACGAGAGTTATGGAAATTCGTTCATTGCGCTAGAGAGGGGGAGCGAGGGAAATTCCAAATTGCACATTTTCTGCGTATTTACAAAGGGCATCTTGGACTAAAATTTGGTGTCCCTAGTTCTTCGAGATATATATGATTATACGAACGGCGTTTTCGAAGTAGGGGAGGGGAAATCAAAAAAAATAAAACAAAACCCTGATATATAGTACTCTTGTGTAGTACATTTCATGTACAGAGTATAAATATTTCAGTGCAATTGACACATTCATGTGATTTATTCGCTAGAAATTTGAATTATGGAATAAAAGCCACAATTCGGCTCTCGCCACTTTTAAACATTTGTATAATATATGTATATACATGAGTTATATACATGACTTCATTATGAGGTAAGCCCGAATTGCTAAAATTACTTTTCTTCGACCATACAATTGTCACAATTGTGATTTGAGGCAATGTATTACCAATAGTCCACTTGTATTGCCCCTTAGCTATGAAAAGCCCCTCCCTGCCAGACAAAATATTGTTTATATATATAAGTATACTTGTATAAAATAGTTTTCTCTAATGGTATGAGTGGTAACTCGTTTTTAGGGCATGTGAGTTCAAAGTGTTCGTTTACCTTTACGGAAGTACGAGATTTTGTGCTGATTTTACTGATATGTTTTTGTTTATTCCCGATGTTAACAATGTTATAGTTATAAACAAGAGTAGACAAAAACAAAAAAGATTTCAAAAAATATTTTAAATATTTAAAAATAAAATTGAAATATATAACACGAATGTACATAGAAACGTAACCTGAGGACACATAAGGCTAACGGGATGTACATCATTTCCAAATTTAAGTTGAAAATTCCAAGAATTACGGGAGTTACGGATAATCACTATTAACGGAGGAGTGGGAAAAACCACAAACTCGTCCTTTCTTGGACTTGGAGAATCTGGTACATACAAACGGACGGACATGGCTATATCGACTCGCTTTGTCATCCTCATCAAGAATCAAGCATTAAGCTAGTATAACCTTTTACCCTTTGGGTACAAGGTATAAAAATCTGAAAAAATTCGACAAACTTGCTCAGCCCAGGGCTTAGGGGAATATGAATGTAAAGTTTGGTTATTTTAGCTCTTTTAGTTTCCGATATTCTTGCGTTCATACAGACAGACGGATATGGAATTCTCTTCTACACTTTGGATGCAGGGTATACAAATAAAATCAAATCGTATTAGTAGCTAGTCAATTCCCTTTACCTAGCTATCTCACTTTTTCAGTCACTGATAAACTGCGAAATATGATATATCCCACTGGCCGACATTGGTACTATATTGTTACCTTGATTTCTGTGTATGATCTCAAATAATTGTGCTTTTTCCTGCACTTCACGTATAGTGGGGATCTGTCATGTTCCACCCAATAGGCTTTACTTCGCCTTGCTGTTAGCCACGCATTCGGCATTTGCATTCGGCGCTGTGTATTTTTGAGAGACATTGCTAGTACACGGCGCGCATCGAACGCGGCAAAACTTGTTTGGCCTAACGGCTGGCTGACTGGCTGGTTGTCCGAAGCCGAGGTCGGGACTGGAACTGGGCTGGCAAATTCTTGATGGGCGTCATCAATGATGATGACGTTCCATAGCCCAGTGCATAGACAGTCCACGCGGCTGCTACTTGTTGTTATTGCTGCGATCAATATTTCAAGTTTTAGTGCAACGTAGAAGTAGTAGTTTCGCCAATTATTGCCACTGCAGCCTTCAATAGCGTTGTTGTTGTTATTGTTGTCGTTGGTGTCGGTGTCTACGGGTTCCGTTCTACAGACGACCTTAAACGGGGAAGAACGGGTACCCCTGAAGTTGGGACTGGACCAAACCGCTTTTTTTCCTTTAACTTCAGCCAAAAAGCGCCACAATGTAAATTTGCAGTGGCTGTGGCCGCGGTGGCGGCGAATGCAACCACCGCAGTTGTTGTGGTTGCACTTATAGTTGCTTTTTCCTTGCCCACAGGTCTTACAACCGGTTCGAATTTGTTGCTATTTTTGTGCCTGCTTCTGTTTTTGGCTTTGCTCGGGCGCAGTTCAGTCACTCTCTTTTATCTCTTTCTGCTTTTACTCCTGCAGTCGAATACGAAAGTTTCCCCCCCGAACGATAATCAAGTGACCGATTATGGATATGTACCATGTAATTAAGTTTCATAAAAGATCATTTCCTATCCCAAAGTGTCCTTCATTCCGCTGTAAATACTCAGTACTTGGACGCTTTAGTGGTTTCTTCTTGATACACAGATCAGTCGAAATAGCGGTGCTAGCAGGGTTAGCCACTATATGGCTACATATGTTACATATTAGGCGCAAACACACTGGTGGGACAACTAAAACGACCTAAAATGTGAACTTCGTCTACGGCGAAGCTATATACCCTACCCAATGCTCAAAACAAAACTAACTTTTCAATGGTCATGGGCAGCGGACATACACGTACGTATGCCCTTCTGTTTCCGTGCTTATCTTATCTTTCATTAGCAACCATTCTTTACTTATTTTGCATTTCGTCATCCATGTTCACCATTCGCGAACCACGACTGAGTCAGATATGACTACAACATTCTCAATGAGCAATTTGGTGCCCATAACTTTAGAAATAAACAAGATTTTGATGCAAATACTAATTTCCAATCATAAAGTTTCTGTGAAAACTATACAAGTATACAAGTATTATATAGGCAACTGACATGGCGATTTGGATTTGTGTCATACATCTGCATATAACATGTGACTTACAATTCTTTCTTGACACTTTTTTTATTCGAAAACATTAACAACAAACAAAAACTCATAGATAAGCAACACTATTGCCAACAATATTTTAAATACCAATGTTGTAAAAAAAAGAATTAGGTCTGTTTAGTTCTCCTTATTACTACACTGATAAAAATCAAATAAAACATCGTAAATTTTACCAAAAACATATTAAATTAGTGATTTTAATATGAATAATATTCAAAACAAATTGTTAAACTTCGTTATTAAAGTGTGCCATATTTAATTTAATGTTGAACCATATTAAATATTATTATATAATATATAGTTAAACTTACTATATTCCATAGTAAATTATAATATTTTTCTCAACTTTAATTTGCCGTTTTTTGTAGTCGATTTAAATATACTAGAAATTTATTTAACTTTAATTGACTTGAATTCTCAAGTCAAGTAATTTAATATTAATATTAATCTAAACTATATAAAAGGCATAAGCAACGTCAAGTTAATTAATTTATAAGAATTAATAATTAAAAGAATTTGAAAATTGCTTTCCACTAAAAACGGTTCTATTCAAAATATTTGTGTATATAAAATATGCATTATGGAAATGTCGAAGTTCAAAAGAGTTAAATACAGTAGAGTAGACAAAAAAATTGGAGAAATATTTTATAATTATAAACTAGTATAGCCTTTTGGGTACCCTTTGGGTACAGGCTATAAAAACAAACCTTTGGCGTGAATCAAACCCATGTCCACATACTCATTTAACATCAAAAGTTGCCCCTCTATCCCCATTATTTTTGCCCAACACCAACAACCAGAAAGACATTAACAAAATCGTCAACTCAGGAACTAAAACAGTTTTACAAAAACCATCTGGAACGAGTACAGTTACTACTACACATAACAATAAATATTCCAATGACAATAAAGAGGAAGCATGCAATTGTATCTACACAAGATTTAAACTTACTCAGAAATATTTATTGCATTTCCCGCAAAATTCCAATCCCAACCAAAGCATTTGTTAAACTTATCTCAAAATTAAATATGAGCTCAAAAGTATACACAATTCAGCCTGAAGTCTTTGCTTGCTCTGGCTATAAATGAACATTGCAACTAAGGATTCATTCCCAGATACAATAATCTAATAAAATAATTTTTGGGAATTTAATATTCACTGTTTTGGAAAAAAATAAAGGAGAATGTTAGAGTCGAGCAAGCTCGACAGTGAAATACTCTATTCCTCCAAAAAACTGCCTCAATTGTGCAGAACAACAACAACAACAAGTGGCTGTCGACTAGTCTTGTCATACTAATGACATCACACATCAAGGGATAATAAAGAATATAT